TGCTCCCGATCGGGCTAAGCATTCTATCGCCATAGCAACCATCAGTATCCGGCGGCCCCCCATCTCTGCGCCGGGAGTATCGGATGATCCGACACTCCCAGTGCAGAGATGATGGTGACCGCCAGATACTGAGGAGGGAGCCGAGAAAAAAAAGCCTGCAGGCACTTCATGGGGTAGCCCGGGGCCTCGGCCATGAGGACCCAGCAAGCAGCTGCCTGAGCACATGGGTGCGCTGTCTGAGACTGTGACACACACTGGGGTGCTTTTCTGCAGCCTCTCCCACTCGAAAACAGTTGAAGACCAGCCAGAAGAGGTGAATGTAAGTAATTAAATAAAATGATTATTATTTGTAGCCCAACTGATGGACATGCTGTATAAAGTACTACTGGTATTAGTAGTGCTCTGTAGCAGGTGCCATTCTGCATTGCAGCAATGCAGAATGGCACCCTCTATAGAGGACTACAAATCTCAGCAGTACTTTATACAACAATGCTATTTTTTTCTATTTTTCCAACTTTATTTTTGTGGATTGGGGGGTTTGTGGTTTTTGTTTTGGGGGAGGGAGGAGGGTGCGGGGGGCCCGGGAAAAAAAATCTTGCACCAGGGCCCTTTGTTCCCTTTTGGTTTGTCCACCACTGAGCACTTAAAGCCCTTAAAGTAATATACCATAAATTACCATATAGGTAAAGTAGAAAGTTCACTGCACTGCATGTACAACGTATCATAAGGTGACTGTACATACTTCTACTTTCTTCCAATGTGTGGAAGCACTGCCAGAAAGCCCTGAGATTGACGTCTAAGTTTCAACTTTTTAAATAATCTTTTATTGAAAAGCATAAGGGTGACAGTCATATAAAACCATACTTTGTACAGGTTCACATATATTGCATAGAGCGTAGCAGTACAGAGTTATTGCTAAATTTCTGATAATGTATTGAGTGCTAATCAAAAAGCTCTAAGGAGGTACAACAAATGAGCCAGAAATGGGGTCCGTTGATTGCTTTCGGGGGAATAGTTGTTGGGATGGCAAACGAGATAGGCGAATGAGGGGGGTTCTACTTTTTAAAAGATGATACCTGCAGTTGGGTAGGCAAGCCATACCCTATCTGACAACAATTTGGCTTTACAACTGGCTGTTCAGGCATCAATGCTCTATTATTGGGAGATTTGGTATTTACATAGCCCTGCCCCCTCTGCAAGCTCTGGAGTTCTATGAGAAAGAGACAACAATGAGAGTGGTGACATGTGATGGAGAGACAAGTCAGAGATCTCCTATACAGTGTGTGGAGATGTGGAAGCTGAACGATCAGAGCACACAATGTGAGAGGAGACGTTCGTTTCTTTTTCATAGAACACCGGAGCTTGCAGAGAGGGGGCGGGGCTATGTAAATACCAAGCGGCTGTAAGGAAGGGGCGGGGTTATAGTAATAGCTGAACAGCAGGGGGAACTAACCTTTACAGGGGAACAGATTTCATACAACTGCTGCACATGTTCAAGGCGGGGACAGAGGAAGGAGGGGCGGAGGCAGTGAGGAGAAACAGCCTTTCATGCACGCGCTGCCATTTGCTTGCACAGACGACAGGGACGTGGAGGTACGGAGAGAGCTGCGGGAACAGAGCTGCTGCGCATGCCCATATATTCGTGGACGTGCAGCAGTTCTCAAGAAAGCGCTGTCAATCACAGTGACGAATGATCAGTGGAGAGGATCTTGACAGTATTGCAGACAAGTCATGGTCTTGGAGCTGACAAATGTCAACTTGAAAAGAGGGAGGGAGCAACTGGGCATGCGTTTTTTCCCCAAATGATAATATAGCTTGTGACAACATGGTGATGAGTTTATGAGTTAAATGTGTATTGGTGTTGGGTTATGTTTAAGTGGGTTATACTGAGTAAACTGTTTAGGAATAGACTGTCAGCACCAGCCCTCGTTATCTCCCATTGTACTCTGAAGGAGCTCAGGACAATGACATTCTGGACAGGCTCCTGCTATGGCTGTCTGGAGCACTTTAGCAGGTGGACACCTGTGGTGTTGTAAAGACAGGATTTCTGGGGAGGGCAGGGTGGATGTGATGGGATTATATTCTGATCTGATCACTTTCTGTATAAAAGTTTGTGCAGTTGCTCAATAAATCAGAGTTTGTTTCACCCTACACTGAGTCTCGACTAGTGGCTGGGGAAACTGGGAGCTAAGGATCTTCAGGTTGCAATATCTCCTGAGCAAGGAAGAATACAGCGGCGTACATACTCATCCTGAGTACCGGAGTCCGTCACATTGGTGGCAAGCGGTGGGATGCTCTTCCTAGCCTAAGGAGACATTCAAACCACCACCGGGACCAAGTTTTCTGCTGACATAAGAGAAGAGCCACAGTTGCCTATGGCCATGGAAGCGCTGGCCCAGCTCGACTATCCTGGTTCTGCCCAAGATATGCCGGGAAGGAGAGATGCCTTGCGCCGGGAGAACTTTAGGGAGACTCTTCAGTTGCAGCAGCACTATTGTGGCAAGGTCCTCCCTACATCCGAGGAAGGATACTGGCTCCAATGGGACTTGCGTGTGCCTTTGCTGGGAGAGCAGCCTCGGGAGGAATGGCTGCTGGAGCTGGATTGACTGCTCCAAACGGAACAGATGCTGGATGGTATGCCATCCAACTGTGTCCATGGCTGGAGAACAATGATCCCACAGAGGGCTATGACTTCGGCGGCCCGGGACTCATATTTGAGGCGCTCCAGGAGGATCCACAATTTGGGAGTGCACAGGAGTGGAGATGAGAGGGCATATGTGATTTTAGGGAGTTGGAACTCCCCAGTGAACTCGGATTGAGGACTGATTTGGACTTTTTATTTACTCAAGAATGGGAGCTGGAACAAGCATACAAAAGACTGTTCGACATTGCTCAACAGCATGCCCCAGCAACCACAGATGTCATGGAACTACTAGTCCCAGCTGAAGAGCTGGCATCAGAGCAGAGTGCTGCTGACCTCTGCCCAGCACCAAATGCACCTCCTGGAGCTCCAGGGAGCCAGGGCAGGCAGCCCCTCTCCCCAACAGCAGGCTGATCCAGAGGAACTACTGATCCCAGCTGAAGAGATGGCAACAGGGTTCCAGGGAGAAGAGGTGGTCGTCCTCCCTCCCCAGCGGCAGATGAAGTTCCAGGGAAGAGAGGTAGCCGACCTCCCTCCCCAGCAACAAATTAGGATACAGGGAGAGGAGGAAGCCTTCCACCCCAACAGCAGACCAGAACTAAGGATGTGGTTTCCCCAGCAGCAGTGCTGGCACCAGGGCAGAGCACCACTGGCGTATGTTCCGCACTGTTGTCTGCTCCAACCTTCATGGGAGAATAGGAAGCCGGCCTCTCTTCCAGCACGTGGCTTTGTGGTCCGGGACAAAATACCAGCTTTATCTCTCTCCAGAGGCAGCATGTTTTTCAGAAAGGAGCAGGCGACATCTCTCCCCAGCAGCAGAGGCAGGGGGTCCTTTGGATGGAATATGTAGATTTATGCTGCCCAACAAATGCAGGTCCAGACCAGTTGGGGGACTGGGACCTAATTAGTCAACCTTTGGGGGGGAAGAAATGTCACGGAGCCCACCGTGACCTGGGCGCTTGGAGGGGGTTGGCGGCCAGCCTCCTTCCTAGCGACTATGGACCTAGTATTATGGAGACCCCCCTTGTTTGGTTGAACCGGGTGTACGGGGACAATGGACGGCTGTTGCGGTGGAGCCTGGCCCTACAACCGTTCAATTTCACAAACCAATACCTGCCTGGGAAACACAATGCTAATGCTGATGGACTATCTTGCCAAACGGAACTGGAAGGGTGACTAACATCATGAACATCCCCAAGTGGACCCATAGAGGGTCTCACCGGGTCTGCCATCCTTTAAATTGGGGGAGCTGTGTGACGACATGGTGATGAGTTTATGAGTTAAAGGTGTATTGGTGTTGGGTTATGTTTAAGTGGGTTATACTGCGTAAACTGCCACTAAATAAATCACTTCCATCTGCAGCAGCCAGAGGTTCAGGTAGGCAAACAGGGCATTTACTTTGAGCGTTCAGTGAATCTCAAACAGCTAGACCTTGGGTTGAACTCTCCGTTGACCTGAACTTGAAAGTCATCCCTACTAAACAGGAGCAGTAAGAGAGATTATGCATCAGATTTATTACAAGGTTACAGCTTCATTCATGTGTTTCTTCCATAGCTGCTCTAATCTAGCGCAGCCACAGAATAAACTATGCCCCTAACCACTTTTAAATAACGACACTTCTTATTTGTGCATCTGTTTAAAGTAAAATCTGTCTCATCTTTAGTAATAAATCTATCTCATAACTTTGCAAATGTGTCACAGTTGGCTGCTTGTTTATTTATTATTGGTATTTATTTAGCGCCGGCAATTGTTACGCAGCGCTTTACACAGTGCACAGTCACATCAGTCCCTGCTCACAAGGAGCTTACAATC